GGACAGATCTTAAAAGTTATTATTATTTTTTTAGAATATAGAGAATCATCAGACCTCTCTGGTAAAAAATGTTAAGACTAAATTCCATAGAAATGAAAATCTTCAAACAAAAAAAAAAAAATATTAAGACAACATACAGAGATTTTGCTCCAAAAACTTATCCCCAACGGATGCCATAGGAAAACCAAGTCATCAGAAACACTGCTCTTACTTAATGAGGGGCAGAGATATAGGCTAAAGCTTGAAAACTGCCTCTAAGATTTCTAGAATTAAGGAGACTAATTCTAAAAGAGGAAAGGAAGACTTAATCCTTTTGAAAGAGCCATCAAGACCCACCATGGGTCTTAGCAGCCAATTGGATAGGTTAGCTACAGCTCAGAACTCTGGGAGTAATCATCAAAGACTTAAGGCCAGAAGTAACTGTCCAGCTATGGCCATGCTTTCATTTGCTCTGAGGAAGATGGATATTTACAAAGGAGAACCATGGACACTAAGGCACGTTTTGGAATTTTCAGGAAACAAGGGTGAACCCAGAGAAAGGAGGATCCCAAGGCTGCTACCAGCTCTCCCTTCATAGGTAGCAAAGGATTAAAGATGGAGCAAAATAACAGAAAACAGACAGTATGGGACTGGCCACCTCCAAGCTAGATCCTCTCCTACTTGGCTTCCTAAAAAGTAGTTACTGCCCATTCTTTGAATCCCAAGGCAAGAATGAAGGAAAGTATGGGAAGGGTGGCCTATAAATACAAACAGGGAGTTGTTTCTTCCCTCTTTGGGGCCCAGAGGCTTAGGGGATGATCATAACTCTGAGGAGGAAGAAGGTTTGGCTGGATTTTCAGAAAATCCAAGTATCTTTCTGTTTGGAGCTCATTTTGAGAGTAACCTGCCAGGTTCCCAAAGAGGAAAAGGGAGAAATTAGCCACAGTTTTGGATCCATGAGGTGGCACATACCTGAGCACATCCTGATTCTGAGTCCGAGGCCAGCTGATGGTCCATAAGCCCGCAGTACATGCAATGGAGGAGACTGGTATGAAAGAGCATCCTGCCAGTGCCTTGGCAGCAGCTGGAACAGAGCCAGCCCAGCTTCCTGTGCAGGCAAGCTGCCATTTTGCTGTCAGCATTCCACCTCATGATAGCAGCAAGAAATTCTATGCACTGGTTACCCTGGATACTGCAAGAATCTTAGATGACAGGGCTCCAGTATCCACAGTCAGGAAAAACTAGGGCATGAGTAAACCCCAAGCTTGGGGACCAGGGAAGGAAGTGTCTGATTATACTTTTATAAAACACTAGAGGCCCGTTGCATGAAGAGATTCGTGCAATAGGCCTTCCTTCCCTTGGCTGCCGACACTAGTTTTCCTCCAGCACCTGGGACCCAGTCCTTCGCTCTGGCTGCAGTGGAGAAGCCAAGCCTCTTCAGTCTTCAGTCTTTGCTCCTTGCCTGCATATGCAAATTAACCACCATCTTTGTTGGGTTAATTTGCATACTCATCCTGATTGGCTGGTGGGCGTAGCGGAGTGACACCAATTTGTATGTTTCTCTTTTATTAGTGTAGCTGTCATTTATAGCTCTCCACCCCTCACAATGCTTTCTTTAATTTCTCATTCAATTGAATCTTTATTGAGTGCCTATGATGTACAAAGCAGTACTATGAAGGTCAAGCTCATATATTAATCTCCTCTGCCCTAGTAACTCAAAACACTAATACTCTCAGTAGACACAGGTATGAAGTACTAATCACAATACTGTGTCCCACAAACCATTCCATAATTTCTTCAAGAATTATTCAAAAAAATTTAATGAGAATCTATTTACTAAGGCATTGGACAAGGCTCAGACTTAGAGGATAGAAAAGTAAATGGGTAGTTTTTCACCTCAAGAATACGTCTAATGGATATTTATCATACATCCATTATATTCATTCATACATATATGAAATCTAGAGGTTTGATTCTAAATACTGCAAACACTGAACTGACTTTAAAGGAGAATTCGGTATAGTAAGAATAAAAAAAAATGTGCTCATACACATTTGAAACCACATAGCACAGTATCTGACACCTAGTAAGTGCTCAGTAAATATTCATTCATCTATAAAATGATTATATTTGAAGATATTCTGGCACACAAAATGTATTACAGGGATACTTGCTGGTTATTTTAAAAAGTAAAGCATAAAAAAATAAAGCATAGATTTCAACACACTATTGTGTGGCTCTCACATTAAAGGCATTTATTTGTTACTATTTCATCCTTAATCAACTTAAAGGTTTCACATATGCTATTAGAAAGGGGACTTCTCATTAACCTGGATAATTTTGGGGAGAATTTTTATAGGGCCAAGTCTAGTTATGCTTGTGTTGGAGACGGGGCTGCCAACTCAGTGTCCATGTGGTAAGATTTCTTTAGAAACTGTCTGCTCCAAAATATTCTGATCACAGAGCTACCAATGTCCTTGGAATCACTCCCAGTTGAATGCTGGCTTTGGATGAGATGCTATTTCAAAAAGTTCCCAAAGTGCAATTCTATGCGGGAACTCATTGATAAGTTCATACCTGTTGAAGCATTAGCAGTGATTAGTTTGTCGGGCCGATTTATAAGACAATTAAGTATCTCTAAAGGACAGGGCAGGAAAATGAAGGGCTTTTGGGAAAGCTTTTTCTTATTAGGGGGAGTCATCGAAAGACGAAGGGGGCGACGGTAAAGATAAATTACATCTACTTCACAATCTGTTTTTGGGCTGCTTCATTACTGAAGTACAAGGGCTCTATGTAAAGTGTACTAAGAATTACTATGATTAATATTCTTTCTTGCAATGAGCAGCATTTTAAACATGGGTTGATTTTTTTTCCTGGTCTGTAAGGAATTTGAGTGAATGGGAAATACATTTTTCTCTCTTAATTTTCTCCCCCCAAATAACCATTGCCAAAAGGATACTTTAGAATCTCAATAATGTTTTCGTAACAATCTTTCCCCCCACAACCCTAGGAAATAATTACTATCACTGGCCTGAACTTTCAGGTGAAGAACTTTAGGCATGAAGAAGAATTTGCCCAAGATCCAAAGCTAGCAGTAGTTGAGGCTGGATTTGCACCCAGATGCTGTAGCTATAGAGATCATGCTCTTAACCACTGAAGTGCAGTCCATCTGCCTCCCAGTGTCATCGGGATGTGGGTTTTTTTAAGTGCAAACTCAACACAGGATGTGCCTTCCAATTCGTAGGAGACACTTACATGAGGCATGCGGCCTGCCGGCCGCGAGTTTGACATGCTTGCTTTAGAGACTGGTAGTCTTTCATTGTGGTCCTCAAGCCAAAAAAAATACAAAGATTTTATGTGTAAAGTGATTTAGGTCCTAATACCAACCGTTACAGTTTCCTATCATATTTCTTTTCAAAGAGCTCCTCTTCTCGATGTTCAAGTCATCTTTCTAAATCAGGGCAGGAGCCCTAGCTGGTTTGGCTCAGTGGATAGAGTGTCAGCCTGCGGACTGAAGGGTCCCAGGTTTGATTCCGGTCAAGAGTACATGCCCAGGTTGTGGGCTCGATCCCCAGTAGGGGATCTCTCATCATTGATGTTTCTATCTCTCTCTCCCTCTCCCTTCCTCTCTGAAATCAATAAAAATACATTAAAAAAAATAAATCAGGGCAAGAGTCTTAATTAGTTATCAATCTCTCACTATGTGTTTAGGTTATGCTAGCCACTGGCCACATAACTGTTTCATAAACAGATAAACAAGATAATGAAAAGCCAGCCAGAAAACAAACACTGTCGCTTAAAAAATTATTATTTCCCATCTTATCTGTTTACTGGGATTCTTAGGCTAAGGAGTTATTTCCAAACCAGCTTTTTATATCCATTATATGCACGATTGTGACCCCAGCTTTCTAACTGGCTTTTCTGGTCTTTTGGGGGAATTGTTAAAGATCAATAGTTATTTAATGCCTGGCCATACCTCATTTGTATTAAACTAAGGGATTTTAAGGCTACAATATTGGCCTTCACTCTCTGTTCATTTTACAGTATAACCCCCAGGCTTATTCACATCCTATGGACATTCTCTTCTAGCATCCTTTCTATTTATATGTGTAGTATAGTAGTCCCCCTTATCCACAGGGGATATGTTCCAAGAACCCCAGTGGATGCCAGGAGCTGCAAATAGTATCAAACTCTCTATATAGTATGCTTTTTTCCCTATACATACATGCCTATAATTTATAAGTTAGGCACGTAAGAGATCAACAACAATAAAATACAATTACAGCAACATACTATAATAAAAGTTACGTGGTCTCTCTCAAAATACCTTACTGTGTTGTACTCGCCTTTCTTCTTGTCATGATGTGAGATGATAAAAGACCAAACCTATTTCAGAATCTGTGTAAGCTTCCCTGACTAGCAGTAAATGGCTTGGCGTCACTTGTTTCAGGGACCCCTTACCGAAGTCTTCCTACAGGCTCTGTGCTTTCTGGTGCAACACACTGCTGTCATTTTCAGTTCATGTCTTCCGCCCACAAATTGAAAGCCTTTTCCGTGTTAAGTAAGCATTTATCATGCACTGTGGCTGTTTGAGGTGGGACAGCAAAACTGTTTCCTTCTTCACAGTTTCATGGCTAGAAGATTCATTCTTTACTGTAGATGTTTCCTTTGAGTTCTGTGTCTGAAGTGTAGGAGGCCTGGCTTTTCTTTCCTTATTAAAGTCGATAATTTTCACCTTTTCACCTTCACGGCTTCTCTTTGGTATATCCACATGGCCAGCATCACCACTCCTGCAACTGGGGCCATTATTACGTAAAATAAGGTTTACCTGAACACAAGCACTGTGATACCACCACAGTCAAGCTAATAACCCAGAAGGCTACTAAATGACTAACAGGAGAGGAGATTACAGCATAGAGATGCTGGATGAAAGGATCACTCATACCCGGGGCAGGGAGGAGTAAATCACACCACTCAGAACAGTGTGCAATTTAAAATGTATCAATTGTTTATTTCTGGGATTTTTCATGCAATATTTTCGGGCCTCGGTTTGCAGTCACTAAAACCACGAAAAGCGAAACTGTGGATAAGGAGGGACTACTGTATTCTACAATATGTTTATTCCACATAAAGCATGAAATGTAAAGATCATCATCATGGCTCATAAGATTTGTCCCTTGACCTTGGTGGGAGTAGCTGGAGGCTGGGACCTTCCTCTCCCAGTAGTTTCTCATCATTTGGTAACCAGCTTAAGCTTCTTTACTTGGCAGCTTTGCTCCAAAAGAGTCAGGGTAGAAGCTTCGAGCATCTTAAGGCACCGGATCCAGAACTCACATTATATCACTTCCACCATACTCTGTCGATCAAAGCAAGTCATAAGGCCCATCCAGATTCTAGGGGATAGAATAATAGACTCCACCTTTTAAGAAGAGGCAACAACATCTCACACAGAACCATGAAACCGGGGACTCGTGGTATGTTGGGAGCTATTATTATAACAATCTACTGCAGTTGGGGAGTGCAAATTAGTTTGCTACATTTGGATTTGATCAACGAAAGAGAAAATAATCTCTAGAGATTAGCATCTCTGTTTTTTTCCTCATAAATTATTCCAGAAAAGCTTTATTATAAATCTAACTGCTTTAATCAGCGTAAACTATACCCCTAAGCATTGTACCTGGAAAGCAAAACTGGAAGTTTACCGAGAAATGGGCAAGAACACTGCAATTTACTTTTTCGTTTTGAGTTCTGTGTCTGAAGCATGGGATTCCTGGGGATTGCGCCCTCAGAACCATAAACTCGCTCCAAAAGCTAATTAAAGGGGGGAAGCTAATCAAAGAGAGACAAGAAGTGATGAATCTTCGTAAGAGACACGAAGTGACAAATCTTCCATGAAGTGACAAGTCTTTTTAAGATTTCTATGACACTATAATTGTAATGTCAGAATAATCTGTTCTCTACCCAGTGTGATCTCTGGGGTTCCACAAAGCTTGTCTTCTAAAACAATGCTCTCTTGCTCTCTCCCATCGCCAGCAATGGGGAAGACTAACGACTGAAGACCTTGACCTTTTGGCACCCCTACTTAGTGTAGCACTGAGGGAGGCATAAGATTCAAAGTGTTTTAGAAAATGGCAATGAGTTGAGTGAACATTTGCCTTGGAGTCTGTTATCATAATGCTTTCTTTAATAAGTGGGAAGATGGAGCCTAGGAAGGTAACAAATAGTCTGTGCCACTTCTGGTGATATGATAGATGTTACTGCTTTACAGCCTGTATGGTAAAAGAGTATTACCTTTCATTTGTTCAATATTTACCTTCCAGACGCTGGAAGGTGTGTCAGGCCAAGTAGGCGAGGCTGGTAGGTGGAGTAAAGTCGGTCAGGTTTATCTCATTTGGCTGTAACTTTTTTTCACATCTGCCTCTGGCTATCCAAATCCAGACATGAAGTATGTGTACAGTAGTGGAGGAATTTCAGAAGAAAACCCAACTAACTTTCAGGCTTGGAGAGTAAGTTGTATCGTTTTATCAGAAGGAGGGCTCTTGGTGATACCTGGAATATGTTCAGAAAATAAATGGATTTATATAAGGTTGGGCCTTATAGATAATAAATTGCATGGGTCTCCTTGAAATGAAAATGGACCCCATTATAAAAAAAAATGGAGCCCTTGATACAAGGATTTGTAAACAAGAAAGGAAGAAATAAAAGAAGGGAGAGAGGGAGGGAGGACGTGAGGGAGGAAGACAGAAAGAAAATAAAGGACAAATAAAAAGTAAAAACAAACAAATATATGGAAATTAGCCAAAATGAGTTGACCAATTAAGTACAAGATTATGAAGCACAAAAATGCTTAATACAATTAAAACATGAAGCCTGTCAGACCCTTTTAACCTGGGTTTTTCAAACTAGAATATCTTATTATAGAAAGCACTTAAGAGTCAAGAGTCTTGGTATTCAAGTCCAGGCTATTTCATTAATTACCTGTATAAACTTGAGCAATCCAATTGAACCTGCTTGTTTTTAATTTCTTCATCCACAGAATAAAAAGGTTGGGTGATATCTGACTCATTTCAGTGCTGTCATTCTGTGCTGTCAGTCACCTGTCATACCTTTAGCTCTAAATCCTATCTTGGAGCTTTTAATATTTATTAAACGACCTCTCCTACAGCTTCAACTATCATGTATATTTAGCAGAGTGACTTCTTGAATTTCACAACTGCCTATGCAAATAAAGAAAAAACAGTGACTCTTTACTGACATGTCCAGGTCAGGTGTCATATTATCTTTCTGTAAGAAGTAAGGAATAGACATGGATTTCATGAGGATCAGGTTTCCTCAGACTGGCCCAAGGCAAGACTTTTAAAAGGATGAAGTTTGTTATAGGGTCCTCTGACTCCTCTTTCTTCATCTCCTCCTACTTCCTAAATTGCTGTTGGCTGAACCCCAGGTGTCCCTGCTTTCCTAATACCATGCAGCTGCGCGACGCCCACTTCTCTTCCTAACCTCCTCCTGCTCCACCTTTATGCTCACCCTTTAATACAGTGTCTCACTATTAAAATCCCTTCTTACCCACAAAAACCTGTGTCCTTTCCTAAAGTTCCTAATCCAGCAGGTATGATGAGGTTAACTTTCTGACTGAACATTATTATTAAGTTGTGACTCAATCTGCAACTCTTCCCAGAAAAGTATAGCTGGTGGAATTTTAGATTCAGCAGCAGAGTCGAAGAATTTTAGGGAGTAGAGGGAAACCTGGGACAGTGCAAGTGGCAGAAAGAAAGCGTCTTTCTGTTCTCCACCCTTCAACTCAAAGTTGGGTCCTAGGACCACCGGCAGTAGAATCATCTGGGAGCTTGTAAGACTTGCAGAAGCTCAGGCCTTCCTAGCCCTTCTAGGCAGACTCTGCATTTTCAACAAGACAGGAGAGGTGGTGGTAGCTTGTAGGCACATCAAAGTTTGAGAAGCACTGTGTTCCCCATAGATGAACACCTTCTCCCCTCTCTCTTCCTTATGGCCACTTATTCCTTATGAGACTGAATTCAAATGAAGACCCATTTTAGATTTCTAAGCAGACTTCCTTCTAGTAGTTGACCCAAAGACATCATGGTCACAAAGAAAGACTCTATAACTTAATACATTTTGAGAGGAGGAGGCTTTGCAGAAGACCTTCATTTAACACAGCACTGCAGGGAAGTATCCGCACAAGAACGGAATCACTTAAGACTGTTCTTTCTAACTTTTCTATCTAACCTTTCTTCTTCCACTGTGTTTCTTAAACTATGATTCACGCAACATTGTCCAAGGGTAAAAGAAGCCACAGAATGAACATAGTGCATTTTCCCAGAGACTAGTGTTTACTTAAAGATTTTTTAAAAATTGATTTCAGAGAGGAAGGGAGAGGGAGAGAGAGATAGAAACATCAATGATGATAGAGAATCATTGATCGGCTGCCCTCCTTCATGCCCCCTACTGGGGATTGAACCCACAACCTGGGCATGTGCCCTTGACCGGAATCAAACCCGGGATCCTTCAGTCCGTAGGCTGACGCTCTATTCCAGGGTCCTCAAACTACGGCCCGCGGGCCACATGCAAATAGAAATATTGTATTTGTTCCCGTTTTGTTTTTTTACTTCAAAATAAGATACGTACAGTGTGTATAGGAATTTGTTCATAGTTTTTTTTTAAACTATAGTCCGGCCCTCCAACGGTCTGAGGGACAGTGAACTGGCCCCCTGTTTAAAAAGTTTGAGGACCCCTGCTCTATTCACTGAGCCAAACCGGCTAGGGCAAGATTTATTTTTTGAAAAGGATTCGGAGTGTGAACTGTACAAATATGCTTTGTCAGATTTTTCATTTCAGGCATTATGGCAGATTAGATGTTTACAGAAATCCTCCTGGTATAGGACACCTAAAAATGCTCTAACACACACACACACACACACACACACACACACACACACACACACACACACTGGTAGGAAAACTAGAAATCAGCAATGCAGTTTGATGTTGGGTTTTGTTCTGGGGATATCTACCTACATGGGTGGTCTAAAGCTTGAATTTTAATGGGCTCAGTAAGCAGGGGAGAAAACCAAGACTTACTTTGGAAGATTGAATAGAAACTACTATATGGATCTGGGAACCCACCCCCCTCCCAAAAGATATTTGATTTCAGCATATAAACCAGGAAAAGAAAAATACCACAAAGAAGTCAGTGACTCTTGTCTGTCTCAATCTAAACTTTATTGGAGGGAAAATATGACTCTTGAAATTTCCAAACTATGCAAAAACAAAAACTCTAGCTAAAAATATACCTTAAAGTGATCTTGGATTGGTACTGCTCCACCTGGCAGAACAAATACTCTCTGGAAGAAAGCACTGCCTCTGGGCCTCAGAGACTTTCAAGAATGTGAGCATCCCTATGGAAAGTCTAGGTTTAACTTTTTGAGTTTCCGCCAAAGTACAATTTATCTATTTTTTCCTCTTGTTGCTCATGCTTTTGGTGACATATCTAAGAAACCATTGCTAATATAAGGTCACAAAGATTTAGGCCTATGTTGTCTTCTGAGTTTTATATAGTTTTGGCTTTACATTTTGGTTTTGATTTATTTTTTGTGTTGGTTTTTGTAATGGTGGAAGGTTCAACTTCATTCTTTTGCAAGTCTCAGCATCATTTGTTGAAAAAGACTATTCTGTCCTCATTTAAGTGACTTGGCACACTTCTCAAAACCAATTGACCATAATGTAGCGTTTATTTCTGGACTCTCAATTCTATTCCATTGATCTATATGTCTAAACTTACGTCATAATATCTTTTATGACCTAACAAATGACATATCATCACTTCTGCCATGTTCTATTGATTACACAGATCATCTCTGGTATAATGTGGGAGGAACTATATAAGGGTATGACTATACCAGGAGATGAGAGTCATTTGGGGCCATCTGGGAAGCTAGGGATCACATAACACTTACCATGTAATTACCCAGGTATACAGAAAAAAATATGCCCTTAGTGATTTAGTAATACAAGAGGACTTCTAAATTTGATAAAAACTAGTTTCAAAATATTTACTCTAAACATTGTGTTTAGAGGTGAGACATTTAAAGTATTTTCTTTAAAACCAGATACAAGCCCTGGACAGTATTGGTAAGTGGTTAGAGAGTCGGCTCAAGCACTGAAGGGTCGAGGTTCACTCCTGGTCAAAGGCATCTACCTGGGTTGCCGGTTCAATCCCTGGTGGCCCGGGTCAGGGTGCAGGCAGGAGGCAACCAGTCAATGTCTCTCTCACATCTATTTTTTTCTCTCCCTCCCTCCTCCTCCTCTTCACCCTTCCACTCTAAAAAAAAATCAATGGGAAAAATATCCTTGGGTGAGGATTAACAACACACACACACACACACACACGCACACATGCACACATGCACATACACACACATACATGCACACATACACACACACACAAAGGATACAAGACAGAAATGCCCACTTTCCCCGGTTTTACTCACCATTGTGTTAAAGACTTCAGCCAGTGTAATAAGGCAAGACAAAGAATAAAATCTGTAAGAATTTGGAAGAAAAATATGACGGTTACTCTTTGGAGATAATATGATTTTCTACATTAAAAGTGAAAAAGAATCTATGAACTAATAAGAGCAATTAGTAAGATTTCTGGATATAAGAGTATACCATAAGAAAAATTTATTTTAAAATGATAGCCTTGCCCAGCAGGTGTGGCTCAGTGGCTGAGCGTCAACCCGTGAACAAGGAGATCATGATTCCATTCCCAGTAGGGCACATATCGGGTTGTGCCCAGTAGGGGGTGTGCAGGAGGCAGCCGATGGATGTTTCTCTCTCATCAATGTTTCTATCTATCTCCCTTTTACTCTCTCTAAAATCAATAAAAACATTTAAAAAATAATAATGATAGCCTTACTGTAGCAACAAAAAGTATAAGTTATTTGGAATAAATCAGGCAAAAATGTGTAAGATCTTGGTGGAGAAATTTATAAAACTTTATTGAAAACTAAATAATAAATAAATAAATAACATATAAATACTAAATAAATTGTGAATAAGAAAAATCAGGCAAGAGAGTCATGCCCTACTAGATAAAAAATCTTATTTAATTATAATAATTGAATCAATGTGGTATTGACAAAAGGATTGGCAAGTAAACCAACGCAACTGGCAATAAAGCATAGAAACAGACACTGCTGTTGGTACTCAATATGCAACAGAGTTTTCAGTTGAGAAAAGATGCTCATTTAGACCTGGTAAAAACATTTCTTTATCAAATAAATTCCAAATGGATGATTAAAGATTTAAATGTGGAAAAACAAAGCTTGTAGAACTCCTCAAATAAATTATAGAAGAACTTCTCCTCTGTGATCTCATGATGTAAGAATTTAAGGCAGAAAAAGCTCAAACCATAAAGGAAAATATTACTAACTTCTATTCATCAAAATACACAATAAAATAATAAAAAGGGCCGAAACCGGTTTGGCTCAGTGGATAGAGCGTCGGCCTGCAGACTGAAAGGTCCCAGGTTCGATTCCGGTCAAGGGCATGTACCTGGGTTGCGGGCACATCCCCAGTGGGGGGTGTGCAGGAGGCGGCTGATGGATGTTTCTCTCTCATCGATGTTTCTAACTATCTCTCTCCCTTCCTCTCTGTAAAAAATCAATAAAAAATATTTAAAAAAAAATAATGAAAAGGGCTGCAAAATATCAACATATGTCATAGCAATACCTGGATATAAGAGTATACCAGCAACACATAAGACCCGTAAAGACCGATACAGCTCCTAGGGCAATAGAGATTAAGGAGAAAATAAACAAATGGGACTATATCAAAATAAAAAGCTTCTGCATAACAAAAGAAACCATCAACAAAACAAGAAAGCCCATTGCATGGGAGAATGTATTTGCCAATGCTATTTCAGATAAGGGTTTAATCTCCAAAATTTACAGAGAACTCATACAACTTAACAAAAGGAAGCTAAACAATCCAATCAAAAAATGGACAAAGGACCTAAATAGACACTTTTCGAAAGAGAACATACAGAAAGCCTAGAGATAAATGAAAACGTGCTCAAAGTCACTAACCATCCAAGAGATGCAAATCAAAACAACAATGAGGTACCATCTCACACCTGTCAGAATGACTATCATCAACAAATCAACAAACAACAAGCGCTGCAGAGGACTTATATGGAAGCTTAAATATTTTAAGAGCAAGAATTTAAGTTAACAAAAGAGTAGATGCATGGCTCTTTATGAGTTAGCTTTGAAAGTCACATACTTCTTTATTGGTTGATTAGGGGGGATCGGGGAGGCCAGGGGATTGTCAAGGGTGGGGGAAAAAAGGAGATATATGTAATACCCTTTGTAATACTTTAAGCAATAAAACTAAAATAAATAAATAAATAAAACAAAACAAACAAAAAAACCCAAAAGGAAGCTAAACAGTTACAAAAAGCCCACCTGCTAACCAAGGATGGGGACACAGACCCCCACCTTCAGAGGGAGGTGTGTCAAACCCCCATTATAAGAAAAGCATGTGGATGGAAGATATTTTTGTAGGCATCCTTAGAAAATTTACTAACACTGAAGATATATATATATATATATATATATATATATATATATATATATATACCTTATGACCTGCAATTTCACTCCCTGATATTCACCCTAGGGGAAATTCTTTCCCGTGTGCATCTGGAGACACAAAACTTTGTGATTACAAAAACTGAAAACAACCAAAATGTCCAGCAACACGGGAATGAATATAAAAAGATATGCTGTGTAAGCCACAATGAATGACCTTTAGTCACACACACATGGACATGGATGAATCACAAAAACAATGTGGAACTAAAAAAGCAAAGTGTACACTATACATATGTTGTTTATATCAAGGTCACAAACCAAGTTTTCTATGCTACTTTCTGTTATATTTTTTAGAAAAGTCTACATTTGTGGTAAATTAGTAAATTACAGAGAAAAACAAAAGAATGATAATCTAAAGTTTAAGATAGTGATTTCAGGAAGGGAGAATAGCAGAAGAAAAATCTGGGAGGGGCAGACACACTGGGAGCTTTAAGGTTCTGGAATGTTCTGTTTCTTAAGTTGAATGGTAGTTATTTATCGTTCAGTTTATTATTAATCTTTAAAACATATGCATATTTTGAAAATACTCATATTTATGATAATTCTCACAAAATTTGAAAAATATGCATTTATCTAAACTGTTTTGTCAGATGTATGATAGAGTAAAACCAGTAGCAGTAGGAACCTATTTTTACAAGAAAGTCTATTAGCCAAGGATAGTATAGCAAACTTGTTTCCTCCTTTGGCAATAGATCTTTAAAACCTTATTTTTTAAAAATTTATTCTAGAGAGAAGAAGGGAGAGAGAGGAAGAGAGAGAGAGAGAAATATCGATGTGAGAGAGAAACATTGATGGGTTGCCTCCCATACATGCCCCACCAGGGAATTGAACCCGCCACCTTTTGGAGTAAAGGAAGATACTCCAACCAACTAAGCCACACTGGCCAGGGATAAAACATTATTTTTATATGATACCCTTCATATGATAGATTCATACGCAAAATTTGCATTCATTTTAAAGATAAAACAAGAGGCTTCAAAGACATTGGGAGTGGATACGGGACAAATGCCTAAATTTCTTGGCAAGTGGGGCATTCAAGTTTATTCTTTCTCTGTGAGGAAATACCTTGGCAGAAAAGTTTGAAAAGCATTAGGTCTCCTGGCCAACTTGATTACTCATTATTTCCTGAATACAACCTGTGTCTCCTGACTTCTATGTTTTTTGCTCCTGTCATTATCTCCAATACTAACCTTTCAAGTCACAAAATTTACTCTGAATATGGAGGAGGTGACAAACTAACTTGTTCTTGCCCAGAACCACTGTGACAAGACAACTTGTTCTTGCCCAGAAGCAGCACATTTTGACCTACATTCTGTGTTCCCACAGATGGGAGACAATCCTCTAACGTTTGTGCAAGTCTGCCTTCTGACCTGAAATGTGAAGTCCTGGGTCCATTGTTTCATACCGACGCTGCAACAGCATGAACTCGGCCAGTGAAGGTGATTGCTTCTAGTTGGTAGCTGTTCGGTAAAATTAATTGTTGCTCAATATTATTTTTGCTATTTAAAATGTATTCAGCGCCAACAACCTATTAGGGAGTCTTAGTCAAATTCCTAATGAATGGCTATTCATTATATTTCCAAGTCTGCCACAATTATTACTTGAATTTTTAACTGTTCATTTCTAGAGAGTTAGAGTCCAGTTGAAATTTTTTTAAAAAGTGGACTGTTAGAATATTGAGTAGAGGATCTTATATAATTCTAGAGAGTGGCTTTTTATCCCCGAGTATGAAGTACAATGTCTTGCTACTTCTCCTTCTAAAACAATATACCAAGAAAAGATGTCTCATTACCATGCATTGGCCAGCCCTACTCCGAGTCAGGGAACCTCTCACCTACCTAGGTGAGTTGTTCATTGTGCCAAAGGATGCACATTAGTGAAGCAAGTTGGGTAAGCTTGTTCCCTATTGCTTATGCTTTATATGTCCCCAGGGCAAATTACTTGACTCTCCATACCTATCATTGCTGCCTCTTTTTGGATTTCTTCAATCTACCATATCCAAGAGAAATCTCTTCAAGTATCCCTACAATTTCCTATATATGTAATTCAGTTAAAGTCAAAACCTATTTATAGGTGCCTACACTCACTGTGATAGGCACTACAGGGGAATCAAGAGTGGGTAAAACTATCTCTTTTCTACTGAAGCAATACAAAATTGTGTGTGTGCGTGTGTGTGTGTGTGTGTGTGTGTGTGTGTGTGTAGGAGGTTGAAGTAGTCGGTTAAGAAGTATATAGATTAACTGCAAACAAGACAGCACACACATGCTGTATGTAGGCCCACCAATAACATTTATGTGTCTGAGGACAAAAAACAGATTGAGGTCCACATGCCTTATCTTTAAGTCTTTAAAAGTTATAAATCAAGTTAACAGGCTATTAAATATAGTATACCCTCCTACCTCAACAAATAGAGTATAAGTAAACATTTATAACAACCAAATGGGAAAATATATGGAAAGCTATACTTTTTATATGACTTAAAGAAAAGTGAAATGTCAAAAAATTACAATTTAAATATTATTGCATACGTCTAAATTTTTGGCTGATGATGTATTGGATGAGGAATGAAATTAAAACACATGTAATTCATATATCATCCTATATTTATGCCATAACTTTATCTTGCTAACATTTCAACAAAATCATTAATTATGCTATCATTAATAGTTTCATTTATTTGTGTTCTATTTATAGTAATGATCTAAAGTATCAGTACACAAAATGTAGTAGAATTTAAAGTGCATGAAAATTGCACTGGCTGGTGTGGCTCAGTTGGCTGGGCATTGTCCCAGGCACCAAGAGGTTGCTGGTTCATTCCTGATCAAGGGCACATGCCCTGGTTGGAGGTTTGATCCTCAGTGGAGGGCATACAGGAGACAGCCAATCAATGTTGGGCTGTCATATCGATGTTTGTCTCCTCTTTCTCTCAAAATATCAATAAACTATTCTTTATAAGTAAATAAATAAATGCCCGGTCAATGTGGCTTGGTGATTGAGCGTCGATCTATGAACCAGGAGGTCATGGTTCGATTCCCGGTCAGGGCACATGCTGGGGTTGCTGGCTAGATCCCTGAGGGTAGGCATGCAGGAGGCAGCCAATCAATGATTGTCTCTCATCATTGATGTTTCTCTCTCTCTCCCTTCCTCTCTAAAATTAATAAAAATATCTTTAAAAAATAATAAAGTACATGAAAATTGAGTGTGTTGAATATATTTGTTACACTGAATATATTATATTAAAAATTAAATGTAAAAACTAAAAATTATTTAAATATGTGCTTTATTTTACTTATAAAATACTATTTTTAACTTATTTTAGAGAGACAGGAAGGGAAAGAAAGAGAGACACATTGATTTGTTGTTACACTTATTTATGCATTCATTGGTTGATTCTTTTTTTTTTTTAATATATTTTATTGATTTTTTACAGAGAGGAAGGGAGAGAGATAGAGAGTTAGAAACATCGATGAGAGAGAAACATCGATCAGCTGCCTCCTGCACATCTCCTACTGGGGATGTGCCCGCAACCCAGGTACATGCCCCTGACCGGAATCGAACCTGGGACCTTTCAGTCCGCAGGCCGACGCTCTATCCACTGAGCCAAACCGGTTTCGGCGTTTTGGTTGATTCTTGTATGTGCCCTGTGCATCCTTGGCATATTGGGACTATGCTCTACCAACTGAGCTACCCAGTCAGGGTCTAAAATACCCTTATATATTAAAATTAAGTAAAAAATTAAAATATAATTAATGAATATCAATATTTTAATGAATATCAAAATTATTTCAATAGAGCTAACATATAAAGTTTTTTTGTCTGAGATATTGCATATAGTAAAGTACACAAATCTTAAATATGTAGTTTGAAGAACTTTTACATTTGTGCACACCTGTGTAATCAGATTAAGGCACTGGACATCTCTAATACACCAGCGGGATCCCTCATACCTTCTCTCAATTGATAACTTGGCAAAAGGTAACCACCATTCAGACCTCTATATTAGTTTTGCCCATTTAAAGTAACTTTACTGGGCCCTAACCGATTTGGCTCAGTGGATAGAGCGTCGGCCTGCAGACTCAAGGGTCCCAGGTTTCGATTCCGGTCAAGGGCATGTACCTTGGTTGCAGGCACATACCCAATAGGGAGTGTGCAGGAGGCAGCTGATCAATGTTTTTCTCTCACCGATGTTTCTAACTCTCTATCCCTCTCCCTTCCTCTCTGTAAAAAAATCAATAAAATATATATTTTTTTAAAAATAAAGTAACTTTACTGGGATGCAGTTAACATACCATACAATTCACCCTTTTAAGTGCACAGTTTAATGGTTTTTAGTATATTCACTGAGTTGTGCATGCAGCCATCACCATAATTAGTTTTAGGATACTTTTACCACCCCCAAAAAGAAAACTCTGTATCTATTAGCAGTCACTCCCAATTTCCCTCCAACTATGCCAGTTCTAGGCAACCACCAATCCATTCTCTGTTTATGGATTTACCTATTCTGGACATGTCGCATGAATGGAATTACATAATATGTGGTCTTTTGTGACAACAATTTTACACTTTAGCAGAACGTTTTCAAGTTTTATCGATGTTGTAGCATATATCACTGCTTCATTTCTTTTTATGGCTGAATAATATTCCATTATATGGATATTCACTTTCTTTATCCATTCATTAGTTGATGGTCATTTAGGTTGTTTCCACTTCTTGACTATTATGAATAATACTGCCTTCCTCCATTTCAACATTTCCTCTCATAGAGTGATAGTCATTCCTTCTGCTTCCACTGTATCCAGAAGATAATAACATCAACAACAATGATGAACTTCAATGTATTTATGCAGCACTTTTATATGCCAGTGCCTGTACTTGGAGCTTTGTAGGCATTAACTCATTTAATCCTTACAATGACCCTGTTAGGCAATTTTATCATCCCTTTCCCTTCCTTCCCTTCCCTTTCCTTTTCAATTGGTTTTAGAAAGAGAGGAAGGAAGAGGGAGAGAGACAAAGAAACATCAATATGAGAAACATCAATCAACTGCCTCCTGCACATTTCCTACTAGGTACCCAGCTGCAATCTGGGTATGTGCCCTTACCAGGAATTGAACCAGGGACCCTTTGGTGCACAACCTACCTCTTTTTATCATAACACATCTTATTGTCTTGAAATGGTTTAGTTATTACCTATCTCCCCAATAGACAGTTGTTCTTATTCATGTTTATATCCCTAGCAACTATTACATGTGTTTTTGGTTTTTTTTAAAATATATTTTTTATTGATTTCAGAGAGGAAGGGAGAGGGAGAGGGAGAGATAGAAACAATGTTGAGAGAGAATCATTGATCGGCTGTCTCCTCCCCGCTCCCTACTGGGGATCAAGCCTGCAACCTAGGCATGTGCCCTCGACCAGAATCAGGCACGAGACCTTTCAGTCCACAGGCCCTTCTATCCACTGAGCCAAACTGGCTAGGGCTACATGTGTTTTGTTTTGTTTTTTTGGAATATGATGAAGCAACATTCAAATTTAATCTAGCCTTGATCCCAAGGATTTTCAGGCCAGTGGCAGGAGAGGCTTAGTAAGGGCAGAGGCTTTCAAGGTCCCTCCAATCATATTAAGTGGTCTTTCTCCTTGAAGTAAATGGCATTGCCATTCTCCCATTCACTTATTACCCTGGGAGTTACCTTGTTTACTACCATTCTTCACACCTGCACCTCAAGAAATATCCTGAAATTCTTCTACTTCCATTTCCATAGCAATTACACTAATCCAGGTCACCATCATCTATCTCATAACTTGTCCAATAGCATCCTATCATTCTCTGGCTTCTCCCTGTTCCATTTCTGTTCTCCTCCAAGTCATTCTCTACAAAATAAGTTGATTAAAAAAAACAAAACAAGACAAAACTTAACTGAAATAAAAAATCCAAAACGATTAAGCTCTTGCTTAACCTTAAACTCCTACCCTCCACATGGTGCTTCAAGCCTCTTGGCCTTCTGTTCCTCAAACAAGCCAAACTTGTTTAGCATCAGCACCTTAAATTCACATCCATTGTCCTCTGTCCCGAATGTTCGTCTTCCCATAGTTGGCATAGTTGGCGCCTTCTCCTCATTTAAGTCTTAGCTCCGATCACCTCCTCAAAAAGTCCTTCCATGACCATACTGTTTTGCTTTCTTCCCAATACTTATTACCACCTGCAATCATCTCATTTACTTGTTTCAATGCTTTCTGCACTAGAAACATAAGCTTTTAAGTGCCAGAGCTTCTGTTTTATTCACTGCTGTGCCCCTAGCACCAATAACAAAACAGTACTTTTTGAATGAGTAAATGAGAGGAACACACAAGTCTTCTTGGTGTTGACAGGAATGAGTCCCTGTGCTCCTACTGCTCTTTAGCTAATGGGAGGGGAGAGGTAAAGTACACAAACCATTGGGATCTATCGTCATCCTGTTGGCAGAAGCAGCAATCACAGTTGTACAAGAGGCAAACTGGGTAGGTTCCCAGTGACTGCCAGTACTGAATTGGACTGGATGCTGATGCAGCTTCTGTCTTGGGGTGAAGTGCTGCCTGCTTATAAAAGGGCCACAGAGGGTAGTCCGTTCAGATAAACCTAACCCATCTATCTGTTCAGGGCAGCCTGGCCCTATCTGTTTGGAATCGTGTCCAGGTGATTTAGGGAGGTTAGGCTAGGCTAGCTTGTGCTGGTTTGCAGGCTGGGACTGTGGCTCTTCAGTCCCTGCTGCTCTAATAATCCCCCCCCCCTTTTTTTTTAATACTTTATTGATTTTTTACAGAGAGGAAGAGAGAGGGACAGAGAGTCAGAAATATCGATGAGAGAGAAACATCGACCAGCCGCCTCCTGCAGACCCCCAACCGGGGACATGCCCACAACCAAGGTACATGCCCTTGACCGGATTCGAACCTGGGACCCTTCTGTCCGCAGGCCGACGCTCCATCCACTGAGCCAAACCGGTCAGGGCTCATCATTCCCTTTTCACCTACTTTACTCTAAATTCGCCTAACACCCTTACTTTCGTAAAACCTAAGCAATGAACTGTCCTAGCTAATCTATGTCCTACACCTCTCTCTGCACCGTTTTTTCTTTGGTTATGAAAGTCCCCCTTTTAATTACATAATTGCCCATCATTTCACGTATCTCACTGTCTCATCTAGTGCGCACGTGCTGAAGGACACCCACAGTCCCGTATAGTTGACAAGGAAGGGTCCTATGACAAACGCTTCTGACTAGCGTTTCTGTGTTGTTCCTAGAGGGTCAGGACGAACTGCACCGATCCTCAGTTTTAGAGGCGGCTTCCGCGAGTCTCCAGAAGAGGCACCGGTCTCGCCAGTCCCGTGCTACCGGGCGGGGTGCCTCTTCGCACTCGCAGGACGTTGTCTCGGTCCCATACCTGCCGCCCATGGGATCTCCAGGGCAGAAACGAAAAGCCAGCTGCCGCCGCCGGCGTCACCACCTGCCGGAGCCCAACTCGCCGCGCCCCGCGGTAGGGCCAGCTGGGGGCTCTCGCACCGGAGACACGCGCGCGGAAAGGGGCGGGGCTGCCGGGAGCGGTGGGCGGAGCCTGGTGGCTGCCGGGCCACCAATGAAATCCTGAGCCGGCGCGGACTGTGCGCGTGACGCTGCGTAGCGGGCCGCGAGGCTGGGGGCGGAGGGGCCGGGAGTCCGGCGCTTTATCTTCGTCTGCGGCCGGGCTGGCGGCGTTGCTGGCCTTGGACACCCGGAGAGCTGCCCGGAGCTGACCTCTCTGCCGGCCGCGCTCTGACGGCCCCCGGTTCTGCCTTCCTTGCCGAGGTCCCCGCTGCCGGGCTTCGGCCCCAGGTAATGCCCTTGCTCCCGATCGGATCCTCACTACCCGCCCGGGTCCACCCACCCGGGCCGAGAGGAAGGGGATAGAGGCGGCGGCTGCAACTCCGGCCCCGCGGGCCGGGCCTGGTCCTGGGATGGGGGGCGGAGGAGGCGGCGGCTCCGCGGGTCCTGGGGAGTTGGGGTGATGGAGAGGGCGGGAAAGTTACCAGCGGACCCCCGCTGGCTGGCAGCGTTGGAGATGGCTTTGGTGTCCCACACATGCTGTGGCATCTCGCAAGTCGGTAGTGAAGAAAGTTATGACTTAGAAGACATTTTATTCCTTAAACCAAAAATGCACTCAGGAAGTCGGCTTCTAATTGATTAAAGGGCGGGAAGGGGGGGGGGGAGCCCAAAACAAAAAACATGTGCGAAGGGATGATTGACACTTCAGTACATCTAAATTTGCTTGCCTTGGCACCAACGCCTTTAATTAAGCTCGTAATTTAGTCTTAAATATTATGATGTAATTAAGTTTCCGTGGCTCTCTTAAATGCTAATAGCCACGCAGCTTAGGTGACATGTATATTTAGAAGTTATTTGTAAGGAAGAAACAACTATAAACTCTATAGTCTCTGTGTTTGTGTAGATTAAGCTGATTGGCCACTTCTTAATAATTAAGGGGCTGCCATCTGTTTAAACTACTTTTTTATTTTTCAGAATACTAGCCTTTCTCTTGACATAGAAGTAAACTTCAACTTCTCCCCCCCACTCCCCCCTTGCTATAATTTAGACAGATGGATGAATGACTTATTAGGGAAATTTGTGTGTTGTTTAGACATGAGGATGGATTTTGGAAGGAGCTTTGAGACATTCAAGAGTAATCACCTAATAAAGAAAGTAATCTTTAAAAATACATGTGTCTCAGTGCATCACACACGTAGAACTCTCAAAGACTTCCTACTTCTCATCAGCATAAAGACCAAATTACTGCCGCCACTCTTCCTGTCTCCAGTTGATTTGGGCCCACTTTTCTTTTGGATCTCTGGTCCCCAGCCACACGGGTTTTATTTTTGTTCTAAGAAAGCCTCTTTCTCGTGAAGATCTCCACTCTTAGGCACTGTTCTCTCCCTTCCTCCAACTCCTGTGTATCCTTCATTATCAGCCCAAATATCACTACAGGGAACCCGTCCTGTCCTGGTGAAGTTCTCCCAGCATTCTGTTTTCCTTAGCTGCAGTTAATCATTGTAGCAAGCTGCATTAGTGACTTAGATCAGTGGTTCTCCACCTTCCTAATGCCTCGACCCTTTAATACAGTTCCTCATGTTGTGGTGACCCCCAACCATAAAATGATTTTCGTTGCTACTTCATAACTGTAATTTTGCTACTGTTATGAATCGTCATGTAAATATCTGATATGCAGGATGTATTTTCATTGTTACAAATTGAACATAATTAAAGCATAGTGATTAATCACAAAAACAATATGGAATTATATATGTGTTTTCCAATGGTCTTAGGCGACCCCTGTGAAAGGATCGTTCGACCCCCAAAGGGGTCGCGACCCACAGGTTGAGAACCTCTGGTCTGACCTGGCACAAAGAAAGGGTCAATGAGTTGGAAGACAGGGGAATGAACTTTTGAATAGGAAATAGGGGAAGAGTGCCTGTTTCCTTTGGGAAGGAAGTGGGAAATGCTTTTAATACATTAATTTTGGAATTTATCAGGTAAGATTAGTAAATATGGTGACCATACAGATGTTCGAAAACCTGTCTGTGTTCTTTAGTTTTGCTAATTGACTTAATGACCTAATTCTTTGATATGTAACTATTGTGGGATTGTGTTTAGAAGGAAGAGGAAGAAATTTCATGTTTTGGATTGTAAATTTATCTGCAGTTGTTTCTCCTCTCCACCCCACCTCCCATCCCCCACTGAACCTAGGTGTGCTACAGCAAAGTTCTTCACTGAGAGTAGGTGCTCAATATTTATTTGTTTTATAGATTTATGGGTTCTTTTGCAAGCTTTATTAATAGGAACACTCTAGGCAGGTTAAAGTTGATACTGCTTTTAACCGGGTTCATTTGTTTCTCAAATCAGTTCTTTTTGTTTTGCTTTTGTTAAAAAGGAAACCATGGGCCCAATAGAGCATCGTTTTTGCTGAAAGCTCATGCTCCCAAATCTAGATTTAATACCTGGTCTGATTGCAGTTTTGATCTCTCCCAGAAACATAATCTACCTGATAAGACCCCTGCCTTTCCCTACGGGAAGGTGTCCTTGCCTGAAATAGTCCACCCTTAACTTCTTAGTACTACCCTCTTCCTGCCTATAAAAACCTTTCATTTTGTACAACTTATCAGAGCACCCTTCTAGTTGCTAATGGGATGCTGTCCAATTGAACCGCTTAATAAAAACAATTAGATCTTCAGATTTACTCAGCTGAATTTTAATACATAAAAAAAATTTTTTTTTTTAAAAAGACAATCAGAAATGAATACAATAACTGAAATGAAAAATACATTAAGTGGAATCAACAGCAGATTATTAACACTTTATTAGGCCAAATTAGATGCTATCAAACTGAATATTACAAAACCAACGCATAGATTAGATTCTTAAGAAATAATTGTTTAATCAGTGTGTTGTATTTTAAAATAGTTATCTAGTCAGCTTTATGTCATCTTGGTTATAAATGTTTCCACTGCTACTTACTGGCTATGTGACTTTGAACAAGTTTAATAGCATTTCCAAATCTTTTGTGTCTTTTAAAATGGAAATGTGAAATGAGATATGTGATGCACTTAACCTGGCATCAAGCACAGTAAGTGTTACTGACTTAGTAAAAATTAATGCCTGGTGTCTTCAGTGCTGGACCTCTTGCAAGACTAGTCTTATGATCATTGTTTTCACTTCCTCAGCTCATTTTGCAACCCAGTCCAATACATTTCTTTGTCCTTCCTGAAACTAACTAGAAGTAAAGCATAGCTATTAATGTCCCCAAATTGTGAAATATCACTATCCTTTTTTTTCTCCATTTAAAATATTTATTGATTTTAGAGAGAGGAAAGAAGGAAAGGAGGGAGGGAGGGAGAGAGAGAAACTTTGATTTGTTGTTCCATTTATTTATGTATTTATTGGTTGCTTCTTGTATGTGCTCTGACCAGAGATTGAACCTGCAACCTGAGAGTATTGGGATGATACTGTAACCAACTGAGTTACCTGGTTGAGGCCTCCATTTTTTGGTTCTACTTAAATTCTCCTTGATATTGGCCATAGATTACCTCTTGAATCGTCTGACTTGATTTTGAACATTACTTGCTCCTGGTTCTCCTCTAATTTCTCCTAGTCTTGCTTTTTTAGCGTTCCTTAATTCCCTTTTGATATTAGGGAAATGACTTAACCACCTGTAAAATGGGATATTAGTACCTGCCTACCTGCATAGAAATGAATCATAGTGTAAAGTTAATATTAGCTTTATTATTTCCTAGGTAACCTCTAGACTTATGGTCTCCCTGGGCAATCTCCTTCATGTGTCTTGGCCTTAGCTGCTGCCTGTGCATACTGATGAATCCCAGATTTCCATCTTCAGTCTGAACTTGTGTGTTCGTCTACCTGTTGGTCATCAGCATTTGGCTGACCCACACTCACATCATATTAAACTTGTCTACTCCTTTCTCTTCTAAAGTTGCTGCGTTAGAAAACTCACTTGGGATCTAGGTTTACAACTGCCTTCTGGATATAGCCATCTGAATATCCCATAGATGCCTCAGATTAATGTTTGTAAATTTATCTCCCTTATCTCTTCTTTCTTCGTTTGTTCACTTCGTAAACTCATGTCATTTGATCCTTACTTCAGACCTTTATCATTTTTTGTGTGAGCTCTGTTCTCCCTGTCAATAATCCTCTTTCATAGTACATCTGTCATATTGTCACACGAGTTATCTTACTAAAAGACAAATGTCAAGTCACCCTGTTATTTAAAAAACTATCAGCTCCTTGCTTGTGCTCTAAGTTCCAGACTCCTTGGAATGGCCTCGTAAAGGCCTTTGACTTTTACTTTTGCCCTTCTACTTGCTCTGTGCTCAACTTTATTCCTTCTCTTCCTTTAAGATTTAAACAAAATTTTACTTTCTTCAGGAAACCTTTTCTAATTGCCCCGAAGATCAGTTGGCCACCAGGCTGAACTCCCTTCATACTATATGATATCTCAACTACTGTTCTGTAACACCGTAAGGTGTTGTGATTACATTTTAATGACTTTTGCCCGCTGGATTTTCACTTCTGGAGGGTACAGACCTGTGGTCGGCAAACTGCGGCTCGTGAGCCACATGTGGCTCTTTGGCCCCTTGAGTGTGGCTCTTCCTACGCCTTAGGAGTACCCTAATTAAGTTAATAACAATGTACCTACCTATATAGTTTAAGTTTAAAAAATTTGGCTCTCAAGAAATTTCAGTTGTTGTACTGTTGATATTTGGCTCTGTTGACTAATGAGTTTGCCGACCACTGGTACAGACTTTCGTGGTAATCTGAGTATCCTAGGGCTCGGCACACACCTCAATAAAATGTTTGAAATAATGTTTGAAAAACATTTTTAAGCAAATTGCCTTGCCTTCTATGTTTAAACTATCACAGCCTTTTAAAGAATGTCAAGGTCATTAAAAACATGAACAAGGTCTGAACTTGCTCATGTTTTTCATAGTGTGCTCTCTTCCCATCCTGTTTAATGCCTAGCAAACTTCTAGTTCTTCTTTTGAACTCTGGTTCGAATGAATGCTACTTCCTCTATGAGGACTTGTTTGCTAACATCATTGTAGAAAGAGGTGCTGAATAT